CGCCCGGTGCTGGGGCCGGCGCGAATGCCAGCCCCTACCGTGGCACTTGTCTGGAGCAACTCTGCTTAAATGTGTGCCCCGTCATTGCCTTGTCTTGGAACACGAAAAGACCCGCAAGCAGAGGCTTGTTCGGATGACACAGCGACGAGCCCACAGCTTTCCGCCCCATCCATTACCAAGAAACACACCGGGCTTTCAGAGTACGGCTCAAAGTACAAGAGTCCCCGCTTCGGGGCAGGCTCAGAGGGAAGCGATCCCAGCAGCCGGGAGCAGAACCCCTGGGCCCCAGCGTGGCTGGGCCTGGGGCAGCCCCCTCACGGGACCCATCCGAGCTGGCCTGGGGCAGCCCCCTCAGGGGAACCATCCGAGCTGGCATGCCGCTGCCTCTGTGAGAGGCTGCCGTGTCACGGTTTGCAGATGAAGTCCAGGCTGTGGCCCAGGAACGAGAAGCGTTTCTGCTTTCCCTGCTCCCTCGCAGGCACAGCTGCACAGGGACCCGAACTGAGGTGAGTGGGCCTGGCAGTTCAGGGCTGATACACACAAATGGAAAAGAATTCAGCAAGTTTTTTTAAAGATTCGTTTTCTGACACTTTATTGTGCTGCAGGTCCAACAAGAACGCCCAGTGAAAACCAGAGGTGTCTGGAAGGCAGCAGTGCAGAGCAAGGCAAAGGTAAGCTGTGAAGCAGCGCTCCGTGCCTGCCATGCGGATGATCCCAGCCGTGTTCCTGCCTGGCTGTGCAGATGCTGGCATCCACAGGCAGGAGACACGGCCTGAACAGCGCCAAGGGCAGGAGCATCCTCCAGGCTGCAGGGAATTTGGAGTATAAACAGTCCTGGCTTGACTTCCCTCTAGTGCCAGCCTGCTTTATGAACTGACCTTGCTTGGTAATACAACCCTTACTGCTTGAAATCTGCCTGTTTACAGGTCTCCTGTAAATACAGTATAATTCATGTAGTAGTTAAAGTCTGGATTATTTTCTTCTTAAAGCTAAATAAGGACTGCTGAAAAGGCTCAAAAAAGTTTGTCTTGACAGCAATTAAACATATGGCAAACCTGCTTAGTATGTACCTGCTTCACTTTTCTACTCACCTGCCTTCTATCCAACAAAGCTCACAGTGCACTGGAGTTACGAGTCATTAATAACACCTCAGAGCTACTGAAAGTAACAGAGCTCCAACAAATCCCTTATGGATAGTCTCCTTAAGAGACAAAACTAAGCCTTCCTTCAGGGCATGCATCCACATATTTTCAACTTTATTGCTTGTCATTCATTTAGCAAAGCAAACGCAAAATCTGAGCAAGAGAGCCAAACCTTACATTGCCATTGCTTTTGTATTTTTGATTTTAGAATTGCTTACAAGCAAGTAAATACATGCACACTGGCCATGTATTCTACTTAACAGGACAAGCTGGTTTGAAAGTAGAAGTGGCTATTCCATGAGACAGAGCCTCAAATACAGAACAGAGTTTTTGTTATTGTGCCATATTTCAAAACACATGTAGTTGCTCAATCTTTAAAGTCAGAATATTTACTCTACTACTCTTTTTTGGCCTATCCATGGCCACAGCTAATTCTTGTTCTTACATGGTGTAGCAGGCTCCTTGGGGCACATACAGACATTGGCTTGGTTGTATTCACCTTCAGAAAAATTTGCATGGAAATCATTATTCATTTGATTCCACACCATCCCTCATTTGTTAAAAAAGTTTTCAAGGGAAATGCCTCCAAATGTCATGTTGCTACATGACATTCAAAATCCTATGTATTGCTTTCCTGTAGTGCACCGAAATGTTTTTGCAGCATTCATTTTAAAACAATACATTCCCATTTTTTGTATGTATTTGCACATTTTAGGAGAACTTCAGGTGCAAGGAATTAAAAGAGCAGTTGTTATTTTAGCTTTTCCTGGTGAAGACATTTCTAAGGGGAGTTTCCAAAGCCCAAAGAAATTTAATGTATGTGATGCTGACAAGAGTACCAAGGTGTATGTAATTACTGAGTGATGAGTAAGATTTCTGAAACAGTTAAATACAGAGATCGTATGCTCTTTTTATTGGCATACAGTCACTACCCATAGAAGTGCATTTGTGTCAAAAAAATAATTTTCATATTTACAGGAAGTGACAGAATTCCAGTTGTTGGCAGAGTATATAAAGCTTTTCATACACAATCTTTTTTATTATTAGACAGAGAATATAAAATCTGAACTGAAAATCAAATTCAATGCATCCTGGAAACTGTATTCCTCAACAGCTTTTCTTAAGCTTATTTCTAGTTTCTTTCTGTCTCTCACAAGAGACAGAAAGGACATCTAGGACATCTGAACTGTTATGCTACCTACTTTCCAAAATTCCTCACTCTTCCCCAGAGCCAAGAGTGTTGTGAGATTGGATCAATACATCATTATTTATATTCCTACCAATGCAAGCAAAAGTTGTGTGTTGTAAATTATGCCTTATTTGCTAATAAATATGACTGCTTACTCTATATGAATGATATAATTGAGGGGGGTGTTATAATTTATAACTGATTATTTATCTGAAACAGTGTTTTGATAAACATGCATGTATTCACTAGCAATTAGCTTGCTTATTAAACACATAGTTAAAATGCATTTCTTTGCCCTGAAGCAGTTCATTTCTGCATCTTATTTATGAAAAAAATTACAGTGGAAAAAAGCTGCATAGCTGAATTTTGATGTAGTTAAATGGATTTATCTATTCATGAAGACATACTTTCCAAGCTGCCTGTACCAGTACCATTTTTTCTTAAAAGATTGAGCCAATCAAAGAGAACTTACTTCGATGTTAAGCCTTTTACCTTTTCCACAACTGGTGTCATACCAGACCTTTTAGGCACAGATCTCTCCCTGAATTTATGTTCTTCTGTAACAGTCACTGGCCTAGAGTTGGGTGTGGTTGGTTTGTTTTTTAACTTCTATTATTTCACACTCTTGTTTCTAATAGCAATAGTCAATTTCCTTAAGCAGGTAATCAGTGACCTCTTTCATTCTGTGGTAATATTAAAATCAAAAATTTAGTGGCATTGCTAATACATCAATGTTATCAGCTTTACACAAGTCATAATTTTTGGGAACTAAGAACCAGCTTCAATATTCACTACGCATTTAATGCATGTGCCAAAATGTTAAGTTAACCTATTGTCAGTTTCCAATGTGCACTGAGTGATGTTTATAAACATGCTCCATAAAAACATCTAAAATTGTGAGATGTGTGTAATATGCCTGAACATCCAAAGATCTCTCTGAAAACTGGGTGAGGAATAGAGTTCCAGAGCTCAACACTGCCACATGAGATCAGTTAATTGCACATATTCCTAATGGGGTTCAGTCTGTTTAAGTATAGTTTGTTACAGTGACCCATATTTTACACAAACAGCATATAGTACCAGCTAGACCAAAAAAAAAAAAGGGTTATTAAAAAGTCTATTATACATAACTAAAGAAAAATAAGATGTCTTTTCTCTGTTCTTCCACACCCCCAATAAAGTAATCTCATAATGTCCATGGATTACAAGTGTTTCATGTTAAATCTTTTTCAAGTACTTTAAAAATCTGTTATACCAAAAAAGCTGCCGTTTTCTTTTTCTTTTTTTTAAGTACTTTCTACCATATACCACAAAATTCAGGTGCAAGAATTTTAAACAAAAAAATGAACTAAAGAGCTTTATTGACATCACAGTACATTCAATAGTAATTTTAAGAACATTACAGCTGAAAGAGAATGGCCTGTTTTATAGTCTTAATAAGCACTACCGTTCTTGAAAAAATGTAATACAAAGAAATCCTATTATTCTGAGCAGCATTTGGAAAAAATACACCTATTTACAAATAAAAAAAAGGATTCTGGTTTCACCTACATAGCCACAATGTGCCTCTATAATGAGACAAGCCTTTTATAACTCATGGAATTTTTAAACATCATAGCACTGGTGCCATAAATTCCTCAGCGTTTACGACGAAGAGGAGTTGTTGATCTGAAAAATAAAGGAAAAGGGGGAAAAAGTTAATTGGAAAAAATAAAAGACCCCCAAACCCACACACACTTTAGGCTTAGTAATTAATAGTTTTAAAAGATTTTCCAAAGTTACTTTTGCCTAAGACAAAGTTTAATAAATACCATACTTCATTAAAAAGGTTCATATGCCGTACACATGAAGACGAATATAAAAAAACTTTTTAAAAGTCAGACAAAGTACTTAAAAAGTATACTACCTTGATCGTGACTTAGACTTGTGTTTGCGGCTTGCCTTCTTACCAGACCTTTGAGATTTCTCCATGGAGCATGACCGAATATGCTTCGATTTCTTAGACTTCTTTTCTTTACTGCTTCCTGGTGATTCAGAACTACTCCTTGCACTAGATTCAGAGCCTGATCGTTTTTTGCTATCTTTGGTAATAACTTTTTTGCTTTCTTGTCTGGAATCCTGTCTTATTATTTTCACACATATTGAATCACTGCGAGAGAAAGTTCTTTCGCTGTCTCTTTTTCTCTTTAATCTACTGTCCTCATGATTGCCAGCCTTACTTTCTTTTTCCTCTTTTTTGGGCTTATCTTTTCTTTTTTCCTGATCTCTCTCCCTTTCTCTGTTCTTTTTTTTGTCTTTATCTCCACCTCCACCCTGCTCCTTCTTCCTTTCTTGATCTTTACCCTCACTTTTATGTTTGTGCCTATTTCCAGCAGGGCTCCTGCGCTGCTCCTCGGCTTTACGCCGCTCCCTGCTCCTGCTGCGGCTCGCACGGTTGGCTCGCCGGTCTCTGGAGCGGCTGCCGCTCCTCCGCCTGTCCCAGCTTCTCTCTCTCGAAGGACTCCGATTTCTCCTCCTCTCCCCCCTTTCAGCACTGTGATTTCTACTAGATCTTCTCCTTTCCCTTATTTTCTCCCTGCTCCTACTCCTCTCTCTCCTGTTCCTGTGGGAGTAACTCCTGCTCCTACTGCGCCTGACTTTATGTGACGGTGTCCTACTGCGGCTGTGCCTCTTCTTCCTCTTGGGAGAGGAAGAGCGTGAAGTGCTGCGGCTGCTACCTGAGCTGGTGCTGTACGAAGAACTGGACACTGTGCTGCTACTGCTGCTGCTCCTGCTATTGCTGCTGCTGCTACCACTGCTAGAGCTCCTTGACCCACTCCTTCCTGTCCTCTCTTTACCCTCTTTCTTGAGTTCTACATCAGGAGCGACTGCATTTGGAGATCTCTTCTTTTCATGAACCATATCTGCTTCAATGTCTTTTGCCTCCTGTGATGCTAAGTTATTATTCTGTTCTTTGTTGGTAAATTCGTTCATCTCTTTTGAAACTTTTTCATTTTGTAGCTTTTCTTCTGAAAAAAGAAGTACACAGGAAATAAAATGCAATTCATTTCAAGCAGTATGTCAGTAATTTCCGCACTATTACATTAACAAAACCAAGTTTCCAAGCACCTCTCATAATACTTATAATTAAAACACTGCCACTATACCAACTACTTAACAAACCACTCTCTTTTCTTATAATTCTAGAAAAGTTGTCCTCTTGGTTTAGAAGAAGTAGAGCCCAGTCATTTTAGAAGTATTGATGTTATTCCATGTTTTAATGGCTTAAGATGGGAGTTCTCAAACAAACATCCTGGGACACCAGAACTCCCAAAATGATCTACACAATAGACTTTTTCCTTTTGCAACCTTTCTGCACACCTGATTCTCCCTTTCTGCTTCCTACAAGACTCCTCATCAATACAGCAGAAAGTACTGATGCTTCTTGCCTTTCTTAGAGCCCCATTCATCTGGGTTTGAGGATTACTGTCTGGTCTGAAGAAGCTGTATTTCTCACATAGTGAGACCCTCAGAGCATTTCTCAGAGGTTTCCAAAATAAAAATTATTTTTATTCAATCTAGGAGTCTTTGCATCACTGCCAACTTAATCTCCCCATTTTAAATTGAATCCAGAAAAAATAACTGACATACATTTTTTGCCTTAAAATGGGCTTTTGATGTGGGCCATCATTTCCTGAATTAATTTAGGGATTAAAACTGCATCCAGAAACCCAGAGTGGTCCAAATGGCAGCTAATGGTCAAATTTAACCCAGAAAACAATTCCAGCTGGTCCCTAAGTTATTAGGCAATACAGGCTGAAGCCAGTGTATATTAGATAGTGCTGTATTGTCCATTAGAAATCTTCTACCTTTCCAAAACACTGCTACAAATGAGACTCTGAACTAGCATTCTTCAGTATTATGGATATACAGAATCAGCTGCTTTACACCCTGGTTTTGCATTTCTACAAATAGTCCCATGGAGATGTCTCCACAGTGACATTTGGCTTCCTGCACTAGGAGACAGAGGTCACAGGCACCACTCAGACACTCTCCATATGGCTTTGCTTTTATGCATACATCTTCCAACACTCAAAGAGAGACAGGACTATTAAGAAAACCAAAAGTTTGGCTAGTCCAGCCTTTCATTAAGGGCTCCATATGTCTTATTTGCAGGCTTTTAAATAAAAAGTTAAAGGAGGAAACCATCAATTTGAAGTTTTATCATAACAGCACTTTCTCCTCCAGCCTGTGAACTTGGTTCATGACTTCTTAACACTGCATCCATCCTGAGACAGCTCTTCAGCACTGGGATCAAATGTGCTACCATTTTGGCCTACATTGCTTGTACAAAAGGACAAACCTTGCCGTGTATGGAGAAGCAGAAGTAAATCACAAGGTTTCAGGTTTTTTATTTTGAATTAAAAATCCATTATTTAAAAATTTAGTTTCAGATGTTTTTTTGCTGAAAACGTGTTTCTTTGCCATCAATTTACATATACTAAGTAGTAAACTCCATGTACAGTGGCACAGTAAGAAGACATCCTATGGTTTACCTTCTAGCTGTTTTTCTAGTAGTAGTTGCTGTTCTCTCTCTTTTCTCCAAAACGCTTCCTGTTTTTGCCTTATTCTGTGCCGTAATTCCTCATCATCAGTATCAGATGATTCAGAGCCTCTGTCACTCCTCTCATCTTCACTGTCTCCTGATCCATAACCACCCAGTCCACCTGCGTGCATAAAGTCCAGTCTATCACGAGGAAAGATTAAGCTTTGTTCTTAATACTTCTGTGAGGCAAAGAGGAGAGTAACACTGCCCTTCCTTCACTTCCTTGTCTCTGAAGAAGTCACTTTATTCTGGTAAGTGCCAGTGCTGTTTGCCAGTGTGTTCAAGGCCCCCGTATCTGCTTTGATGGTCACTGTCTGCTTCTACTCCTTCTGGAACAGCTTGTTTATTTTCAGCAAGCAACCACTGTGACCATGGTACTTTTTCCATTGTATGGAAAGGCAAAAAAGCTGCCTGTGGAGACTGTAACAGTGCCTGCCTCTGTATCAGCAACGGGACAGAAAATGCCTGGGATCTTTCCCAGAAGACATCTCAGCTGCCTCCATAGTCCAAGGCTACAGAAATTCTGAATGCCATATCAATTTTTTCCATATGATTTAGAAAAGACTGCACTTTGACAGGTATGGAGATGGAATAGAAACAGACTTTCTTCTCCCCCAGAGATATTTAACTACTGGACTGATAAGGATAAAGTCAGTTTAAACATGACATGGATTTCTTTCAGTCTGAGGTCCTTAGGATCTTTACTGAGTTAGTTTTGAAACATGAATACTTGTGATGATAACATTTTATCTAATTCATCAATATTCCCTGTAATGAACACATAACTGATCACTGACACTGCTGTAGTACATTTTAGATGATAAAAGTCATGTTGGAAATCTCTTGCAGTTGTGTCTCAAGCTGGAATTTCAATCTCTCTTTCCTGTGTTGTTTCTGGCAGTATATGATATGGGAGCCTTTGTGTTTATGTAGCTTCTCAATAAAATAATAATTACAAAGATTATAATATTTTTATTTATAGACTTTCACATTACTCTTCTATCAACTTTCCCCCCTGGTTCATATGGATCAAAACAGAAGAAAAGTATGAAACAGCATTCCTTTCTTTGAAGGCTGCAGTGTGCTTCTGAAACTACCATATTTTGACAAGTGAATTTATCTAAAATTTTTACATATTTTCAAAATTAGGGCAAGATTCTCATAAACTAAATCACACTGCCTAGTCCTTTACTCCAGCAACTATCCCACTTATATATCAGTAGGACCACCTGTGGAACAAACAAAGGTGCTGGTAATGATAAAGTTATCAGAAAGTGACCCATACTCCCAGGCAATTAAAGTCTAGTTTCAAAATGCAATTTCTAGAAATGCAAGGCAAAAGTGAAACTCCCCCTTTAAGCCCTCTCAAAAATAAGGAACATACTTACCGAGTCCAGTGAGGGAAGCCAGTGCACTGGACTGTGCCAGCTGTTTTGCAGGAGCTTTGTATCACATCAACAACAGGAACAACATGTTAACACAAATAGCCACGATTTCATAGTCATGAGTCTATGGTATTGTTAAATCTACTACTATTGCTGTTCTTTGGAGGGAGAGAAGAAACATTAAAAACGCATCATCCATTTAAAACCACTTCTAGATTTTCTGACCATGAAGATTTAGAATTTAACTGCAAATTAACAGTGAACAGAAAAGACCCAAATATATACTCATAAATCACTTTCCAAGTTACAGCATCTGCACATAATTTTCAACTTCAGTAGTTACATACTTAGATTAACTCTGTTATGTTAAAATAATCTGTTCTGTAAGTACAATACATGTTAATAGCAAAAGCAAATTAATTACTAATTGAGGACTCAAAGTTCATCTCTTTTCACTTCTGAACAGCTTTGAGATAAAGATGATAGTAGTAAGGAACAGCTACAACTCAAGAGTCATTGACACACAGGTACCATTTTAACTGAAATGAATTGTATGAAAAAAATGGAATAACTCAAGTAACTCACAATACACTGCACAGGACAACAGTACATGATTACTGGATTTGAACTCTACCAAGTTGGATGCATTATACTGGAATTGTTCTTGAGGGAGAACTATGGAGGTTAAATGTTCTAAAGACATGCAAATACAGAATTTTTGCAGAAGAAACTCAAAAAAAAAAAAACCTCCCAAACCCAGCATACCTTTAGTTGCTTTACGGTGGACATCTTTGGCCACATAATAGATTTCTTCATTTGTGACATCTAAGAGAATCTCTGTCAGCAGCATTTTTGTCAGCATCATCTGAAGAAAATTGCATATACAATTAAAGGCCAAAACATCTTGACTAAATTCTGCATTCAAGTTATATCCGTACAGCTTCACTTCTTTTGATGACTATGAAAGTCATCTCCTGCACATTTTATTTAATAACTTCTTTCAAAAGACATGACTAAAAAACCAAGAAAAGATTGAAGCTTTTTAAATGTCACCTGATTTCACAACTCTAAAATTTCTATTTTGACTGTGAACTGTGTCTGCATGTATTGCACACAGCTATCCAGGCACTGATCTTAATGTCTAAAATGATTACAACAATGAATATCTAAATCAGCAATGTACTTAGACTGATTCCAATTATTCTTTCAAAAAATAAAGAGCACTTTTCTGACTGGTATGCTGCCTATAAAGACCATCAGAGGGAAGTTCCTTATGCAGCATTTTATTATTACATATTTTCTACAAAAATTGAAAAAAAAAAAAATTGAGGTGGTAGCTAGTTCTCCAAGTCGTTTATGTCTGGCTACATGCTCTACAAAAATATATTCATCAAACTTAGTAGAATTCAGGGCCTTAATTAACAAGAATTCACAAGTGTGAAGGTTGTGCAGACACAGTGAAACTATTGGTGATCTAGGATTTAGGGTTGTAGCACTTCCTTGCAAGAATACATTTCTTAAATACCCTTTCACAGGAACAGCACCCCATCTGTGCTGAAACACAGATTTGAAATGGGTGCACTTAATCACTAAAAGTCTTCAGAAATTTGTGAAGTGAAACAAAACCTAGAATCAGTAAAGATCAATGTAAAGATTTTAGTCATTACATTCTTTCACTATTGTGCTAAATATGAATTATATAACTGATATCCTTGTTTCCATAGGAAAGACAGCATTATGAACAGATGCAAACATAATCCTGCTTTACTGCACAATGCATACTGCACCTCTGTTGACAGCATTGGGCACAGAACAAGTGATTTACTTTGATATGCCTGACAAGTATGAGCAGTTAAACAGAAATACTTAGTGAGAACTACATTATTAATACCATTTGATACTCCTTTTCTTCTTCTGTCATTTCTGGTTCACTTTGCTCCTCTTGAGGAGCTGGGGATGGACTCCTGCTGACTTTCCCAACACTTACAGCTTCTGTGTTTTCAGCATCTTCATCTTCCTCATCACTGTCCTACAAGTACAGTATCATACACTTCAGGAAAAAACTTAAATATCAAGCTTCTTAGTTTCTATTTTTAATAGCTTTATTTACTTTGTACTGAAATCTGTATTACAAGTTATCATAAAACCATCTATTTTCTCCTTTCCTAAAAAATATGCAGGTACATGTACCCACACAAGCTAAGAAAATACTTAGTTGTCAGTTCCCTGCCAGACATATACTTTGGACTACAGAAAATATAACTGCTAAAATGAAGGCAATGCAAGGTTGCCTAAATTGGCTCAGTTTAGCAAATACAGGTATCTGAATATTTTCAGCTGCTGACTTGGAATTCTGATTTTCAAAGGCTCTGTACATTCCAAAAGGGAAAAAAAAAGTCCAATTTCATCCTTGTTTCTTTGCTATTACAGAACAAATTATATACTTCTACCTCTTAGCCATTAAAATCTTCAAAACATAAGTAATTATCAACAGAGCAGCAGCGTAACCTTACTTTAAAAAACAAAACCAATGAGGTAACCAGGAACACAGAGCCTCTCCTTCTAAGAGACTAAAAAGTTGATAGCTTTCAGGAAATACAAATCTGAGCAAAAACAAGCCCTTATACTTACAAATTTACTTCTCTGAGGTAACCGTGGGCCATCCCCTTCTTCAGCCTCCTCACTTTCCTTTTTCTCTTTTTTGGACATCTGTGAACGTTGCTGCTCCATTCTCTCTTTTTCCAATTTTTTCTGTTTTTCTCTTTCCATCTTTTCCAGGCCCTCACGAATCCAGGCAGGCAGAGTTCTACGCTTCACAGCATCTACATAAAGCAAGGTTTACAGTTTTGCAAGATGAAAAAACCTTCCCCCCACAAAAAGGAATAAAAATATGCCCCAAAATAAAGACGTAAACCCCCTATCCCCATTCAAAACAAGTCCCACATCTGATTGTGGGGAAAAACATTTATAATTGCTTTTTCTTTCCCTGCTCTTGCTATTTAAAAGAAAAAGGTCTTCAAATTTTGCAATTCCTTATAAAATACAGCTTTTAATTTTTCATTAAGGAGTGGTTAACATGTACCAATCTGGGGAGGCTCCTGCTTCACAGGCATCGCAATAGGTGACCGCTGTCGATCTCTGAATGAGGGTCTTTCCCTTCGATTCTGAGTAGGTGCAGGAGGTGCTGGAGGACCTGGTGGCCCTGGTGGTCCTGGCTGCCAATAAGGTGGGTGAAATCCACCTTGAGGTGGACCAAAAGCAGCCCCATGCTGAAAGAGTAATGCAGTTTATTTTTCTTCACATGGTAACACTAAATGCAGCATGTGAGCAAGTCGGTCTACAAAAATCCATGCAAGTAGGAATCCATGATTTCTATGCTACTGAGATCTCTCAATCTCTTTTACTGTGGTCCCCAAGAAACAAGTTTCTTTTAAATATTTAATGACTAAACTTAGACTTAAGCAAGGATACTTAACAAACCTGAAAGGGCTTCAACCAATCTCCTTTCACATTGCGCTAAACATTAAGCTCTATAATCGCCATTTATCTCCATCAGTTCCATGCCAGCTTAGCATCAGAGCATGCAGTTAAATAAAGAGTGTACAAAACTAAGATTTAAAAGTCTAGCTGTGTTAGCAGTCTTTTAACTACAGCATGAGAACAAAAAAAGACCAGCCTTTTATTACATAAGAATTTTGCACTATGTACTTTCCAGTAATCCTTCACAGGTCTCATTATTATGATTAAAATATTAAATGCATAATATGCAATTTTAGTACAGATTATGGATTCTGGGCAATCTCTATACAACCCAAAAATCACAAGTCTTGAGGCATATATGAGGAGTTTTTTATTTTAATATTTACTGCCCAGAAATGCTAAATGAAACTATTTAAGAAGAGAGTGTTCAGGAAAAAGGGTACAGTATCAAATATTCCACTGAGTATTTAAGTGACTAGCACTAAGGCACTACAATTTCAGACTAAGCATCCCTCTTTCATTCAATGCAAAACAAGTTTTCTGTAGTATTTAGAGAAGCTAATTTTAAGAGTTTGTCCCATGACAATAAACAAAAATTATAATAAACTCACATACTGGAAAATTATTAGTTCCCTATTTAACAGTGCTGTTCAACAAGAGAATTGTAAGAGGAAAAATAAGCTAGAAGATAAAAAATAGCCTAGAAGATAATAAAAAAAATTCTGCCCATCTTCCCATGTATTTGTTTATGAATAGGAGGTAGGTTTTTAGACAGCTAGTTTGTCATTTACATCAGGAGTTCTGAAGAAAAATACTGAAAATAGAGGGAAGATACAAAGCTTCTTTGTGTTTAAAGGTCTGTCTAATGTACCCTGCTATTATTAGCAACAAAACCACCTACATGTTTATTTTACTATACAACTTATATGCCAGAATGAATAAAAAAGTGGATATGGATTTTTTTTTTTTTTTTTAGAAATACCACTGTTTATTCAAAGAATCACAGCAGATAGATATGGAAAAGATCAATGGATCATCCAGTCTATGTCCTTGCAAATACAGGACTGTTTCCTGTGGTACATTATCTAGCATATTTAAGCATATCTTTCGGAATTTATTTTTTTCCTTCTCCTCTTTTTTGTTTTTTTTTTTTTTTTTTTAAACACAAAGCTACATAATGTTAATTTATATACTGGAACACAGTGATTTATTTTATTACTGCAGACAACAGCCATTTCTTATTAATACTGTAGAAAAATAAAACCCTTTGGCCTCTGAAGAGAACTGAGAACTTTTAAAGTATCTTCTGTCAAGTGTTTGCTTAACATGTATCTTAGCAGATAACAGATTCTGTAGGTGTTGGCAGAACTGAAGAATGAAAGCCGCCGCTAGGTGATATTAGAGGAACACATCCATGGAAGGGACTCTGCACGCCTACACTACTAAAGCAACAAATATGTTTCACCTGATAGTCAAACTGGTTCACTGGCCCCATTGCAAAGTTATCGGGAGGTGCCCCAAAGTTGTGATTGTTCTGGTTAAACATGTGCCTGTTGTCAGGAGTAAATTCCCCACTGTCCTGGCTGTTGCTGTCTTCCGACGGAGGAACAATTTCCATTTGACCTGGGGGGGTTGGAGCCATCCACGGCTGATCTGGAGGTGGGTGAGGGGGCTGGTGAGGCATTCCCCATTCTGTTCAGGAGTCAGAATACAATTGGATACCAAGTTAGTATCATTAAATGAGTCACCAATCACTCAGTGTTCTTGCATTTATCACAAGGTTCCTCAAAGCATCACAGATGATAAAGCAAGGAAGAATCATCCATCTGAAGACTATATTATACTGTCTCAATAATTTCTTCAACTAAACTAAGGAAATACAAATAGCTGTAGCTGAACTGAAACATGCAGCTGGGGGACAGAACTGGACAGGTACAGACATCCTCTAAATTTGTTTTTATAAATTTCTAGTAATAGCGAGTTCACCACAAGACTTACAAATTGCTTAAACTTGCTCCTACTTCTCTACGTCAATTTTGAAAGCAAGGAGCGATTTTACTATTTTGCATAATAGACTTGAAACACCTACCATGGAAGGAAAATGGTGTTGTAAGCAGCACAACCACTGAAACCTATGCCTTAAAGTCTTGAGTCCTGATAATGGATGATTTCTTGGATTACCCAATATCTAGCACAGGTCCCAGAATAAGCTACAGTCATAAGCCCTCAAACATACGTTACAATTGGCTAACAGAGTGAAAAGGAATGAATTAATAGCTCATGTGGCCATAATTTTTGACTGACTCCTTAAAAAGACAAAAATTATGTGCACTATACAGATACTTATAGACCGTGACAGAGCTGCCTTATAACTCTCACCAGTAACAGAATTAGGATCTAGCCTCTCAGATCCTAATTCCTACTTTCCATCCAGTCCTTCAGTACATTTTTCTAATTTTTACTGTCCTTCCCATCTGCATCATAATTGCATCTATTACTGTAGCAACTAAAAAGTGCTATTATAGCTTTTCTATTTCTGTGAAAATTTCTACTCACTGTACAAAAATACAGCTAGAATACACTCTGCCATGTAGAAAAGTTAAAAATTCTCACATGTGCCTACAGTAACTTGTAGCCTAGTGCAGGTAGGTGAAACCTGATGGCTACTTCCCTTTTATTACACACATATAAGAGGTACCAATAACATATTAAGCCTACTTATATTAAATGTTGCATTTCAATACATTTGGACACTGAAAACTGAGAGTGTTATTCTCTCAACCATTAACAGAATCAAGTATGAAGCACAATTTTCCCCAAAACAACTTAGGACGTGCACATAGGCTTACTATGCTGCTCATACACTTCAAATTGCATTACATTATAGTACATAAGCCAGCTTTCAGAAAACAATTTCAGAAAAATTCTTAGCAGAAAATAACCCATTTCTATCCCATTCTTATTACCAGTGGTATCTTGTGAAATTTTAAAAAGAAAATTAATTTTTGGGAAAAAATAAAGTTTGGAGGAAGTAAAAAATACAGAAAATAATCAATACCAACAGAAGAGCACAATCACCTTTAACTTACAATGACTGAAAAATGCTGACAATCAAATATCTAAGTTAAAAAGAGTAAATTCTAAGTATATGAAATGCAATAAACCCATATTTTTCACACAGACTTTTGCTGATCTTCCTTTTTAAAGATTTTTTGACATCTAAAGCCAGCATCAGTTATACTGTGACCTCATTCTACACTTCAAGATCATGCCAGAAGCAGGTATTACACTCCAGCAGAGGCAACAGTAGCTCTCTGAGTAGGAGCTGTGATTAATAAATCAACTGGTAGTTTGGCATTTTGAAGCCTGAGGGACAGGGCATGTTCGCACCAAAAAAATCTGACAAGAATAAAATGAAAAAACATGAAAAAAAGGAATGAACAGCAAGGGAAACAAACCTGGCTGCCACATTCTGTTGAAATTGGGATCCCCCTGAAAATTATTATGGTTGTTTGGACCAGACTCTATTCCTGAAATATCCTGTCCGTTTGGCATCATTCCTTGTTGTTCCACCACGTTCTGCTGCCCTGAGGCTTCTCGCTGAGCAATCCATGCTTGAGCTAATGCAGCCCAGTCAATCTGGCCTAAAATAAACAGAGGAAGTTAAAGACGTCTGAAGTTCAACACTGTTTCTCAATTACATGTCTTATTGCTCAAGATAAATGGGCAATATTTACCTTCAGCAAGCACTGTGAGCACCATTTAAACTTATTCACAGTGTACAGTAAAAGAAACAAAGCAAATGTCAGTGTACACACTTGCTGAAGTACAGTTTCTCTGCATATGTTCAAAATGTCACAAGGCAGATTATTTTACATTAGCACTGAATGGGTGGTAGTAATGCACTTTTTTATATGTGAGCTAATTTTGACATCAGAAATTAATATACATATCCTTATATTATAAATTCATGAAGATTTGAGAGTAAAAAAGATATAGTTGGAAAATTATTCTTCAATGTACCCTCTTCATATAACCCTTGCCAGATATTATGTTACAGTTCTCTCTCCCATTCTTTTTCTTTACTGCCATTCCTATCAGTAAAGAAATAAATTGCACTCTCAGATAAGAACACAAGTATGTCTTCTGCTTATTATCAAATTAAGAAAACCTTTCAGTGAAATTAACAGAAATTAAAGTGACAGTAAAAACTGTGTGCCTGATCACTTTGCCTTAGTATTAAATACACACCTGCACTTTCATCCATTTCTCTATTTCTCTTGATATTTTGAATTGTTGCCACCACATTCTCAATTTAAGGTATATAATGTTCTACTCTTTAAAGCACTTGGTGGTTTTGGTGGGGGAAAAAAATTCAAACAAGAGATCATGATTATCACTACTGTAACCTAAATCAAGAACTGCATTGGTCTTCCAGTGACATTTCTTTCTGTATATATAATCTGCATTAATACTTCTGCCACACAGGTACTGAATAAAAAAGCACATTCTCTCAAACAAAGGATTTAGCTTGGCTAAAGAACTGACAGGGATACATATCTAGTAACAGAAGTCTAAATGTTGATCTGCATGACTGGTAAAATGGTGGTAAATTGTGTAGGATAACTCAGGTTTCGTGCTTGTATTTGCATATTACATATTAAGCATGTGAAAACATTTGTATGAATCTTTGTACATTTTCTATGTTTTCTAGTTCAGAAAAGCATCATAAATGTATTCTCTTGAGAGCAGCTACAAAGGCAACTATGAGTCATACTCTGTCATGAAGATTCAAAAATTTGAATGACAACACATTAAAAGAATGAATCCACAAAGCTTTCTATATACTTACTTGGATCTTGCTGGTGCTGAAATGACTGCATCCACTGCTGTTGGTTCAAAGGCCATTGCTGCCAAGGTTGTCCACCTTGATCCCACATCTTTTAAGTCTTTATATAGTCTATATTTCAACTAAAAATAATAGTTGTATGTTTAAATAGATGCCCATGAAATATCACATAACTGAAACTTACATAACTGCAGATATAGTTAAGCCTTGCAAAGCAAGCTGAAGCAATGCTGGCTTAATATTTTAAGCTGGAGGAAATGGTTCATCCTTTTGGAGTAGTATCTGAAATATTACTGTAAGATTTCAGGAGTCTAGTATGATTTCTCTGTATTTTCACAAAGAAATTAACTACCAAATGATGTTCAAGGAGAGATATGACAAGTTTGTACGACAAGATCTCAACTGGCAATAAATGTAATTTAAAGCAAGTCAAAATATAAAAGGCATGATTGGTATCTTTGCCTGCTTCTTAGGGAAAAGATGTGTATTTCTTCAAACAAGTGTCATGCAAGGCTGTTAAGCAAGACAAAAGTCACCAAATGGTAAAACACATTGTTAATGATTGCACAGGAGAACTGCACAGGTACAAGACAGTGCCCGCATGCATGTTATGCATTGTACAGACTCTTTTTAACTTCTAAATATAACCTTCAAATCTGAGAAAGATAAATAAATATGACCACACAATTACCACATTGCCCCTTAAAATCATGAGAAACAACTCTTGCCGTGCTGTATATATCCTCACTGAGCAGGCAGCAGCAGAGCCCCACAGCCTGCTTGCAGTGCAGCTCCAGGGCCAGCTCTGGGTGAACGTGTGAGGCACAGCAGTGCAGGCAGGCTGCCCCAATGGCACACAGCTCCTCCCAGCACCTGCACCTACCCTGCCACACACAGAGTACCCCAGAGCAGCCACCTGCACTGCTCCAAACAGCTTCTCCAAAGACAAAGACTAGGCACAGCTCTGGGAACACTTCACTCCAGAAGCTGTTCCCAAAAACCAGTAGGGTAGGAATGCACTGAGTGTGACCCCCTCTGCCCTACCCAATCTGTTGCGGTGTGTTGCAATATCCTGTTTCACCTTCTCCCTTCCCCCTCGCCCCTCGCTGAGTGTGCCCTGTCAATCAGGCTAACATACCAGCAAGGCGTCGTGTGATAGGTGTCCCCAGTCCCTTGAGACCCTGCCCCTTCACCTGGTTGGTGGCTCACCTGTCCCCTCCCCTTCCCCTGCCCTGAGCTTAAAATGTTAATGAGACCATGCGGCCTCATTCTGTTGGAGGAATTGCCCCGGCTCAGACCTCTGTACCCGTGGAATAAACATCTGGATATAACCCTCCAGCAGAATCCACTCCTTCCTTCTCTTCACCATCGCCAGAAGCTCTCTCCTGAGGTAAACGGAGTCCTGACAAGCCTGGACTTGCGTCTGTGCCCCGCTGCAATCTCCAGCAGCCAAGGTATCTCTGGGGTAAAACACCGCAGTGCTGCCTTTGGCCCAGCAGCGAGGGTCAGAACTGGCCCAGGCACCATCTAACTGGTTATATTGGGATTCATATTCCAATATACCAATCTGTCAAGAACTTCTCAACAGGCTTTCCACTCAGTGAATATACCCTCATGGAATTTAACATACAACCCCTGAGTTCACACTGTTAAAACATCAAGCATGTAGGTAGTTTCAAACACTCCAAACTTAAAAGAAAGAGAAAAATTCATTCCCTGAGGTCACAGGAGCAGCGTACAGGACCCAGCCGTGGCTCACAGCCAAGTGCAATACAGAAGAGATGAATAGAGCCTCTCTGCTTCACAGCAAACCAGTTCAAAGCAGCCAGTGCCACTTGGGTGGCCAGCCAGGAGCAGCCCCAGTGGCCCCGAGGGAGCAGGACACACACACCCCACAGACAGAGCCTGCTCTCTGGAGTGGAACCTGCTCACAAAGGCATCCTGAGCTCGCCAGCTCACACAGGCACTGCATGACTGCATGGGCAGAGCATCACTCCACAAAAGTGCACCACAAAGAGCTGCACTCAACATCAGAGGCACTGGGCCATGCAGAGATGAACACAAACTTGTATTTTGCATACTTCTGTCAAATGGAATCCTTTATCTGAAAAACTGTAGATCACCTTTGTTTTGAAACCACTTATTGTCAACACTGTACAAAAATTACACCTGTGGCTCTGAAACCTTCAGCTGCATTTTGGGGGCAGGGGCTTCAAACAAAACCATATCAACTTTGGCAACAGGGGGAGTATTGGGCAAAACCTATCTAATACTTTATTATTTTCACTATCTTTTCTTGCTAAACTAAGTATGGAGGCTTTTTCCCATTTCATGAATGCTTTTATGCTATCCAAACCTTTAATAAGTGAAGACACCACCCTTTCTCTTCTCTCTTTTCACAATTTTATCTGTACCTAGGAAATTAACTTTTTTATACCAGCTGAGTGTATGGGGTGGCTACTAATGCACTTATTGCAACATTTTAACTGATCCCTTAAATTAGCTCTCCAGGTATTCCTAGACACATATATCATACACTAGATATGAGGAAGTAACTAGATATGAGGAAAATACTATTTTCACCCTAAAGAAAACGGTAAGTGTTTTTTCCTTCCCTCAGTTCATTTTTTCATCCAGAATAAAGACTCTTTCAAATGTCAAAATAAATTTGTTTACATATTAAACGTTTTAAGAATTGGGGTTTCAGACTACCACTGCAGTGCACAGCCTCATGGTACTGCTCCCTTTGTTTGCAGCTGTTAAATCCCACTAGCACTAATCAACATGGATTTCACTAATTCTGGTAACATTTTTTTACCTCAATACATAGTATGTTGCAACAAGTGCGTGGAATTACACTAAAACTCAGCAAAAGGTTGGTTTTTTTCACTAATAAGACTGCTTTACATATAATTGAATGCAAAAAAAATTACACAGTTAAATACCAATTTCTCTCATCAAAATGTAACAATATTAAGACCACTTCTACAAATGCAACTAAATTGGAACCTCCTACACAGTTTTTACGTGGTAGGATTAGATGAGATTTATTTTTACTGGACTTGTTCTATCTCTGTCCTAAAATCTTCAGCATTACAGATTTTTTTAAACATGTTCCAGCTAGCACAATTATATACTTATTTCACAACTGAAATGGACACTTAGTATTCTGCCTTTTTTTTCTTTACTCTCAGGCCTTGATCCTCACTATGGACAAACTGAAGCACTTGTTTACTCTTCTACTTGCCCTAGAGAAGTTATTTCATCTTATTACTTCTATTCTGGGGACAGAAATCAGGTGGGGAAGTGTACAGCAATAGGTCAAGGCATGGAGCTGGGTTCTATTTTGATGCACAACATTATGACAAGACAGCAGCAACAGTGCCAAACCCTGAAGAACTTCAATATTTGATTAATTCAATTTATGCCACTCAGAACAAACTAATTTAAAATCACTGCTATTTGAAGCAGCTAATTTTAGTTTGTGAACTGTATTTGAAAGCTTGGTTTCAACCAGAAAGTCCTGGTTTGTAACATCTTAATTCTGTATTGCATTTGTACTTCTACGGTTTTCCTGAAGAAATGTCGATTTTCATAGGTTGGTAACTATAAAATATGCTGGCTTTAAAGCACACAGCTTTATTACCAAATTCACTGTAAAAACATTCATTACTAATCAGAACTATGTACTACAGAAACACTTAAGCAATGACATCACTTTCTTTATGGAACCATACATGTAGAAGCCCTTTTCCAAATATGATGTGAAAACTGTCCAAAATGATTTTTTTTATGTATTTCAATACATCTTCCTTATTGAGCAATGTTTGCTTTACAGAAACACAAACTGGATATGGAAGGAATAAAATTTGCACCTTAAAATGTTTATAGAAGCAATATTAACATATACAGGCTAAAAGAGAAGGTCATATTCAAAATTTTTAATATTGAAGACTAAATGTGTGGCTCAGAACCACTGAACAGAAGTGGTTACTTGTAGCACCTCTCTTTTTATGGTCACCTGCAACAGCAGGACATTGTCATTTTCTGGGAAACAGACTCCCCTGTTTTTTAGTTCTCCATTTATTTTCCTGCATTTTCTCCCAGTTTTCACTAACTGGTACAAGGTAAACATGAAAAAGACACTTGATATAATTTTTTTATCTACTACAGGGAGGCTACAGGCATTTAAAAATGGTTCATTGTCTTCAAAAATTATTTTGCTAAGCACTTCAGTGTCTAATAATTCCATCTGCTTTTAAGTTTCAGAGGCTAACCCCAACCTGTTTTTAGCTCCTCATTTGCAGCTGTCATGTTCCAAAAGATAACTAAAACAAGCACTTGTGCTATTTGATGCTACTCTTTTTTACATAAAGGCATTGAAACTTTGTATTCTGCTTGTGAAACTTTACTGAGTATGAAAGGACTCTTCAACAGAATCTCAGGATTGTCCTGTCAGACATCACTGACAGTTTCCTTCCCAATGATATTTTAAAGGTGTCAAAAATCAAACCAGAAAAAGTCAAGTCATACAGTAATGAACAAACGAGATGTGAGTTACCAAAACAACACTTTTGAACCTGAGCCCACAAAAAGAAAAGGGCACAAACTACTTCACAAAGAACTCACAAAACACAGTGGAGAAAATGTAACCTGTTAGCAGTAATTTTAAAAGTACTGCAAGGCATTCAGCTTCTATACCAAGGCAGGGGAGAAGGAAAGAAATCCAAAATCAACAAGCAATGCCTCTCACCCACTAAACCAGGAACTTAAAGGCTTGAAACAACTGGAACCTCTTGTACTAATGTATATGACAAAAAACAACCTGAGACACAAGTAGTAATTAATAATGGAGACTCAAAATCCTCTCCTACTAACTAAAATCTGCACTGACAAAATTAACTTTGGATGCTGCCACACAAATAATAAACAAGTTTTTATTTCTTACAAGTTCCCAAATCAGCATCACCTGAAAGAAAAGCGTCACCTAATACAATGGACAGCTCTATTTCCCACCAGTGACCTAAGGCCAAACACAGCAGAGCATCCAAATGACAGTGAAACAAACTTTATTTCCTACTGAAGTTGGAGGGGAGGGAGATGAATATTGGCTAAAATTAAC